ATGTATACTACAGCGTTTCTGCAATCTAGTGTATATATATATATATATACACGCACACTCGATTGCAGAAGCGTTGTAGTATACATTTATACATATATCTAATTTATTCAGTATATATATACTTTTTGAGTTGAATGTACGCTATTGGATGTATTTTACAAGAGAAAATTCATGACATAACCGGGGTCAAGCTAGAAAATCGTCTCTCCTTGAATTGAAATAAAACAGAACCTGTAAAAAAAACAGAAGTGGATTTGAAAACCCAGGGCTTTCCTGAACATTTTGGTATATAATTCATAGGAATTTATTAAAATTTAGAACCGTATTTTTGCTGATTTTATAATCTCATACTATCTGTTGGCCTATACGTACATTCACCTCTTCTGGTTTCTTAGGTTTCGTAGCCTCGAAAACACGCTAACTTCTAGTTAGCGAAAGAACAGAAGATTTACGGGTCATTTAGGATGTTTTGTCACGCAGTTTATTTGTGCTATATAACTTTACTTTTAAGCACAACCTTTTGTTTTGGAAAGAGAGGAAAAAGACCGAAGAGAGCAAATATTCCAAATGTATGGGCAATTTTTTCCAATGATTATATAAATAATAGCAGGTGATGGCTATAGTTTTTTAACCAAAATATCAAGTAAAAACATGTTTCAAAGACCTCGATCTAGTGATATTACATACAAATAAAAACGAGAAATTAAAACGAAAAGAAGAAGAAAAGAAAAGTTTTTACTGTTACTGCGGTTTTCCATACTCTCTACTTTCGCATACCCATAACACTTTGCGTCTTTGGGGGGTAACCATGCAGAGGACAAAAACCCACTTATTTTGCTGAAGGCTGATCAGACAATGTTGAAAATACCTTGTTTGGTATCCAAATTTAAAATGAAGAAGCCAAAAAAAGGAAAAAAAGAAAAAAGTCCCAGATACATAAGCAGTCGTTTTATATTGCTTTTATGAAATATATCTGAACGATTTTGCTCAAACGTGTCTCAGTCCTTCGATATAAACACGGTAGTTAACCAATCAGCGCGCGTTATATTTCAAATATTTTATAATCCATTTCATATGGAATAAATTAGTTTATGCACTTGTAAGTTTATTTACTTCCTGTTATGGCAGCATCCAGTATTCTTGATGAGATCACTAAGCGGGATGGTGATCATGTGACTTGAGGTCTCTTCGGCCTTCATCTGGGTTGCTGCACTGCTTTGAAGAAATAGAAAACGCGCTCGTGCTTGTGGAATTTTAGAAAATGATCGCACCCACTCGACTAATATGATACTTATAATAATTCCTACTTCAAATGTAAACTTCCATTATGCGCTATCGACCATGTCATCAGAGGGAAAACGAGGGGCAAAACATTACGAAACGTGACACAGTTTTCCCGCTGGCTATACGCCTTTTCATGGGTTGAATAGAGTCGCTCTGCTTATTTGTTTCATTGTATTTATCTTAGCATAATTTTATTGTATATAAATAGAATCGTTTTAATACCTTCATTTTACTTATCTTAGCATAATTTCATTGCAGTTTTTGTTTTTTTTGTTATTGTCTTATCTTAGGGCCTCTATTGATAGCAGTTTTTTTACAGTTTTGTAAATACTGAGGGAGTTACCCTGTTTAAATAAAGGAATCTATCTAAATTTTTGAATGAACTCCTTACAATATACACAATCCTGCTTTCAGAAGACTGGACAAGGTTCAAGCAACTATTACAGCAAGTTTTGAAGCAAATTGTTGAGTGAAGCATTTTATAGTTATATCTTTATCATAGCTTCCATACATTCCCTTGTAAACCCCACACAGGAACCTTGTTTGGGCTGCCTGTGTGTGTACGTGAAAAAAATAACATTACATTGAGATTATCAGTCGAAAATCCGCTTTGACTGTAATAGTTTTCCCCTGACTTCCTGCATAGCTGTCATAGAGGCAGCACGTACTTGCATGTTGATATGAAGACAGGTGATTGTAAGTCAATCAGAGAGGAATTTCTCAGTTACAGACATACTTCATTATAGAGCACATAAGAAAGAAGCTTGGGGAAACAATGGGACGGAAATTTAAAAGGATAAGAACGCTTCCAATATCGATGAACGATGTCTCAAGAATAATGTTCTAAATATAAAAAACGACACGAATGAACAAACAAAAAAAGAATGAAAACTTAAACAAACTAAACAACAACATAAACAAAACAAATTAAGGCTTAAAAATGAAAACGAAACAACAACGACACAACAACCATAAAAAGTCGGATTTTAAGTCTTGGTAAATAGAATGCTAAATCAATTTTTAAGGCAAGATGTTGCCGCCAAGCTGTCTACCTGATGATCGTATTATCGTCATAATGGTGCTTACGTCTTAAGCCCAACTAAAAACAAAAACAAAAACAAAAACAAAAAAACATGAAACGTGTCCAAAATATTTGTAAACACAAATCTCTCATTATACTATTTCAAGACGTGCAACAGTTGCTATTTGAACAGCCGACACACTCTAATATGACAAGCTTTTAGCTTTTACCTTGTCATGGTCGTCAACCTGAACAAACATACGTGTAATCTCCCACCTCTAAGTTTTTGCTAACATGCATATATAAGAAGGGGTTACAACGCAGATAAGGATTAATGTTCTACGAAAACTCTGTAATTTGCAGTCGAGAAATTTACCGAGTCACTTAAAAATCGTTCAGAGGTTTTGCGGAGGATTCCATTCATAACATTAACACAAAAGGTAAATAAGAAAGAAAAACTGTATCAAACTTTTTATATTTTTTTTGTATTTAACGGTATACGTTTTATTTACTTTTTAAAAAATTTTGCTCCTGCTTTGCTGAGGAAACTGCTTCGACATTCAATTCAATTCAGTTAACAATTTATTCAATTTTGTTTCTTATTCGTACTCAAAATGAATCATGCATAATAATGCTTTTTGTTACACATCTAAGCTCGATATCCGTGAAATAAAGCCGTGAATAAAAACCATATCAGTGAAGTGATACGATATCACTTCACGGTGAACTGTCCAATCAAATCTTGCGATATATTTTACTTGAACCAATCACATTATCACATTTAGTGTTGATTTCTATCAAATTCAAGATGAATTTTGTGCTTCTTACATTTTTAATTAAGCTTTAAGAGGCAATGTCCACAAGAATCGAACAAATAGCGGCAAGGGTCAAAAAATCAAATTCGCTCTTCTTTTAAAGTTAGATAGGCCATTATTAGATATGAATCCCTGGGTAGTTGGTTTTCGAAAATTTTATTTTATTTTCGAGAAAACGGCCACAGAAGAGGTTCGACCGAAACCCAAGCAAGAGACGCTCAAGAGGAGTGAAAATGGACAAACTTTGAACAGGGCGCGCGTAAAAAATAAACCATCTATGACAATTTTTGAACTTTCTTCATAATGTATTACTCTTTTTCGTTCATTGGACTGGATTTCAAGCTTATTGGGAAAGGGACGAATTTTTGGCGAGGGAAAATA